GTGTGTGTGTGTGTGTGTGTGTGTGTGTGCGTGTGTGTGTGTTTTGTTCTTAAAGTTAGCAGCAGTTTGCTCCAAACAACAACTCCTGTGGCTTTTCTTTGTAGCAGAAGATCTTAATCGTCTCAGACGTCCCACAGATCGACCCGTTGTACCGGAGCTGCCGGTGAAACGTCTGCGTGGATTGTTGCTTTCTCGCTCTGACTTCTTCTTCTCCTCCTCCTCCTCCTGTTCTCTCTGCAGAAGGGGAGGTCTACACGTGGGGCAAGGGGGCTCGCGGCCGCCTCGGCAGGAAGGAGGTGGACTGCGTGAAACCGAACCCGGTGCAGCTCGACGAGAACCACCAGTTCGCGGTGACATCGGTGGCTTGTTGTCACGGCAACACCCTGCTGGCAGTGAAACGTAATATTTTACTCATTACCCTCCGTTAACAAAACACCACCCAGGAGACAGTGGGACGCAGTGAAAATGAACTAATCCTCACAAAAGAAAGACCGCCTGAGCTCCAGACCTGAGTCTCCTGATAGAGCTGGCAGATATACCTCTTTTTATTTATTTATTTATTTATTTATTTATTTATTTTCTTGAGGAAAGTATGATTGGAGACATTTATGAGTTGAAAGCTCGACCAGAGAAATGATGTCATCCTCCAGTTCTGTTTAGTTGATCAGAGCGTTGCTACATCCATGACAAAACTTAAACTGTACAGGTTTATTACAGAATATAGATTTATTTTATGTAGTGTCATATTTCCATAAATACAGCAATAATAAAAATAAATAAATAAATCCAGATAAGTCAAAAGGCACAAAACAAACAAATTCATTTGTTGCAATGACGACTTCACGTAAAGCTACAACCACATGGTTTTAATGATGCTAAACGTTTTACCTCCACGAACAGATCCTAACAAATATCTCACTTTTTATTTGTTTTAATAATTCATGTTTCAGTTTTCTGAATAACAAACAAAAAAAACACAAATTAAAACTGTGACCTTCATAAGAACAAACAAAAACATACAAAGATGTTTCACACTTTAAAGAAACAAACTAAATGTTTGAGAAAGAAAATCTCACTGCGTCTTTAATCGTTTACAACTAAAAGAAGCTTTTAGATTGTTGACGACTTTAAAAAAGAAAAATCCTAAATCTATTTTGAATATATTTTTATGAACAGGTGTTTAATTAATTATCTATAAAAACCAGAAGGGAAGTAATTTAAAAACAGTATAGATAAATACGGTGGAACACACTGAGATCTGGTCCTTTTAAATTCTGTTTGTTGAGTAGAAATGCAAATTTTTGAACTTGAATACTGAAAACAATAGAAGTGAAACTTTTTTCTAAGAAGAAAAGAATCAGTAAACTGGGATGAAACTCTTCTCTGAAAACATTTGCTTTTCTTCCGTGTTTCTTCTGCATGTTCTCCAAAAATTACAGTGGCCTCAGCTAACACCGCATTACTCTTGTAAACATTTTTTATATATAGCTGGTAAAATAAGTATTGAACACGTCAACATTTTTCTCAGTAAATATATTACTAGAGGTGCTAATGACATGAAATTTTCTCCAGATGTCGGTAACAACCCAAGTGATCCATACATACAAAGACATCAAACCATAAATGTCCAGAAATGAAGTTATTTGTAATAATGTGGAATGGCACAGGGAAAAAGTATTGAACACATGAAGAAAGGGAGGTGTAAAAAGGCATGGAAAGCCAAGACACCAGCTGAACTCTCTCAGTAATTTGAAAACAAGCCTGCCCCTTGTCAGTGCAAGTTAATATCAGCTGGTTCAGTCCCAAATGATGGCCAGGTATCACACAAGAACCATCTGATGATGGGTAAAAGTAAAGAGCTCTCTCAAGACCTTCACAACCTTATTGTTGCAAAGCATAATGATGGCATCGGTTACAGAAGAATGTCTAAACTTCTGAAGGTTCCAGTGAGCACTGTTGGGGCCATAATTCAGAAGTGGAAAGAACATCATTTCACCATAAACCGACCACGACCAGGTGCTCCTCACAAGATTTCTGACAGAGGAGTGAAAAGAATTATCAGAAGAGTTGTCCAAGAGCCAAGGACCACTTGTGGAGAGCTTCAGAAAGACCTGGAATTAGCAGGTACGATTGTTTCAAAGAAAACAATAAGTAATGCACTGAACCACCATGGCCTGTATGCACGCTCACCACGCAAGACTCCACTGCTGAAGAAACAGCATGTTGAAGCTCCTTTAAAGTTTGCTGCACAACATTTAAACAAGCCTGTGTAATACTGGGAGAATATAGTCTGGTCAGATGAGACCAACATTGAACTGTTTGGATGCCAGAATACACATCATGTTTGGAGGTCAAATGGCACTGCACATCAGCCCAAAAACACCATACCAACAGTGAAGTTTGGAGGTGGGGACATCATGGTGTGGGGCTGTTTTTCAGCATATGGTACTGGCAAACTTCAAATAATTGAAGGAAGGATGAGTGGAAAAATGTACAGAGACATTCTTGATAAAAATCTGCTTCCATCTACCAGGATGATGAAGATGAAACGTGGCTGGACATTTCAGCAAGACAATGAGCCCAAACACAAAGCCAAGGAAACTCTCAGTTGGTTTCAGAGAAAGAAACTAAAGCTGCTGGAATGGCCCAGCCAATCACCTGACCTGAATCCAACAGAAAATCTATGGAAAGAACTAAAGATCAGAGTTCATAGAAGAGGTCCACGAAACCTTCAAGATTTGAAGACTGTTTGTGGAAGAATGGGCCAAAATCACACCTGAGCAATGCATGCCACTAGTTTCTCCATACAGGAGGCGTCTTGAAGCTGTCATTGACAACAAAGGCTTTTGTACAAAGTATTAGATAAATTTCAGTAAGTGTGTTCAATACTTTTTCCCTGTGCCATTCCACATTATTACAAATAACTTCATTTCTGGACATTTATGGTTTGATTTCTTTGTATGTATGGATCACTTGGGTTGTTACCGACATCTGATGAAAATTTCATGTCATTAGCACCTCTAGTAATATATTTACTGAGAAAAATGGTGACATGTTCAATACTTATTTTACCCGCTGTATTTGCCTCAATCAACATTTAATTAGCCACAACGACAGGTGTGTTTGGACGAGTCGAGGTGACGCTTTGGAACCAAAGAACTTTGTATGAAGCATGGCGGAGGTAGCGTCATGCTGTGGGGCAGCTGCATGGTTCAAACCAGCATCAAAACTGGTTTCTAAGCTAAACTTTGATGAAAATCTCCAACAAAGAACCTGTATTTATGCCGTTTTGGTCCCTACAGGCCTCTCCACAGCCTGCCTCCACCTAGGCTCCGCCTCCTTTTTGTTTTTTTTACACTGTCTGATGCCAGATCTGTGGTGCTCTCTGGGGAACAGGGGGATGCTGTCCCTACCTGAGACATCCCACGTGTGTTTGCAGAAAACCGATTTAAACGCTGCAGATATTATTTTAGAGTAAAGGCCTCGTTAAGGGAAGTTTTTTACCTGATAAACCGATTTGCTCGGTGTGTTTTAGGACGAAGTAGCTTCAGCTCTGTTCACAGCTCACACCAGTTTTCTGTCAGCTCGTCTGACGTCCCTGTCTTCTGTTCGCAGCTCTGTTCGAGGAGCCTCTTTCCAGATGATTTCTGTGCCGCTGCCCTGAAGCCCAGCGGGAGGTCACAGCCCGTCTGCAGCTGCAGGTGTGTTTCACAGGAAACGTGCTGAAGAGGAATGTTGCCGCACTGATACTGAAGCAGGATTACAGCAGCTCATTAGGCGGCGAGGCCTTTGTCCTTCACAAGCAGCGTTCGTTCGCCCAACAAACCCAGAGAAAGTCAAACAGGTTTTCACGTCCTTTAAAGACCGGGAGACAAAAAGAAGGAAGTTGAGTCATTAATCTTAATCACAGCATCACTTTGTGTATTTTTTATTGGATTAACAACACAGCTGCGGCGTTCGGACCAAATAACGAGGGGGGGTGTTCAGGGTCGGGTCGGACCAGACCTTCCCCTCCCCCCTCTTTTCTTTTCTGCTCAAACTGTAGAGAGCAGAAAATCACACGTTACCCTCCGTGGAGACGGAACATGATTTTCACACTTTGGACTAAAAAAAAAACCGATGAACAACAAATAAAGTGTTGAACAGGAACACAGATGTCATGTTTTAGCTATTTGTTTGTGTTCACAGGGCTCCACAGAGATTATTAAAACAAAAACACTCTGATAATCAGACAATAACAAATCTTCAGCTGTGATGTCACAAACCAAAGCAAACTCTTTGGGTACAATAAGTCTGTCCACATCAGCAGGACAGCAGGGACTTCCTGTCTCCACCTGATAAATCTGAAACATTTTGTAAATAAAACTGGACCATGAAAAATTCATATACATTACATTTGTGAATAGTAAGCCAATTTATGCTTGAATAACCTCAACTTTCAGCTACATTCATTTACATTTTTTTTAAATAATTAGCATTTGATGATATTTTAAGGTGAATCCATTCATGCAACACAAACATTTTTATTATTTTTGCCCTAAATTAAAGCTGATCACAAATGCAATATATACAATTTGTTATTAAGTGCAATATTTAGAATAAATATATTTTAATGCTGCTGAAAATGGTCATTTTTTCTTTCTTCCTCTATTATCGTTGAGCAGATTGATGTTCACAGGTGAAACAATAACACTGATGAGCATAAAAACACCTGCAGCAGGTGTTACGTTTACTTTGACAATAAATAAATTCAATTTAGATTCATTGATACGCCTGACAACCTTAAAGCGAAATAAGTCGTGCCTTATATTAAAGTGAATAAAAAGTATTATGAAGTAAATATTTTGCTAACAGCAGCTTTATGAGCCGCCGTGGTTACGGATGATTTAATTTAATTACTGAGTGTTTGTTTCCTGATTGGTGAGTTGATTTTATTTTTGCATACACCTTTTTTTGAGGACACGTCCCTGCTGTCATTGTTGTCCTTTCTGATGATGTAATGGTGATGTAATCCGGTGGCAATGCAGCAGGTTAAACAATAATCCAGATGTGCCGCTGTGGGCCTCGCTGCCACCAGCATAAACGAAGCCCGGCTGTGTTTTGTTTTTTAACTCTATTTATTTTTTATAGCTATTATTATTTTTAATCAGGACTGAGGATGATATTTGATTATTTACATGAATATTTTACAAAAAAGCTGTTGATTTCTTTTCGCAAACTGGCCACCAGAGGGCGTCTTTCTCCCTCTTTTGCTCCTCTTTATCAGATCTAAATCCTCACAGCTCGAATTAAATCATTATTTTAAGTTTTCCACCACTTAAAGGATGTTTTTTATCAGATGAATAAATGTTAAATATCCCAAAAGAGCATTTATGTCTGATTAGAGACTAAAACAAAAGCCTAATTAAACAGGGAGGTGAGAGGAAGGAGCTCCATGACTCCTCCTGCTTGGAGGAGGAGGAGGAGGGGCTTTGTGCACCTAAACAGACGGTGTTTTGTGTGTGTGTGAAGATAGTGCTTCAGTCTGTCAGTCAGAAAGCAGCCTTGCCGGAGGGAGGATTGTTCCTGCAGCTGTCTTTGTTTTCTGCAGGAGGAAGAGGAGGAGGAGGAGGCGCCTCCTGAAGAAGAAGAAGAGCCCCTCGATCGGTCTGTGAGACGGAAGGAGGAGGAGGACGAAGGGAAGGATATGAGCTCCTCATCATCGGCTTAAACGGCAGAGTCAGACGGGAGGGGGAGGAGGAGGAGGAGGCGGGGAGGATCGTACCTGAGAGCCCGGAGAGAGACGCTCGAGGAGCCGCAGACATCATGCCGGGCTTCGACTACAAGTTCCTGGAGAAGCCGAAGAGACGCTTCCAGTGTCCGCTGTGCAGCAAGGCCATGAGGGAGCCGGTCCAGGTGTCCACCTGTGGGCACCGCTTCTGTGACACCTGCCTGCAAGAATTCCTCAGGTACGGTGTGTGTGTGTGTGTGTGTGTGTGTGTGTGTGTGTGTGTGTGTGTGTGTGTGTGTGT